CCTGCTGATGGGGCTGCCAGGATCCGGATGTGTCCTAGACCAGGGCTGTCCTGCAGGTCCTGGGGTCAGGAGAGGCTGGGTCTTAGCAGCTGTAGGAGGCGGGCTCCCTGCAAGCACAGGCCCAGACGGCACGCGTGCTGAGCGCCCACCGATGCTCTGCTGGGCCAGGCGCACGTTCCCTTATTTTAAAGCTCTCATTCTATTTTACATTTCCAGGCTGCCTCTTGTCATGACATGAATCTGAGTGTGTAATAATCTGAAGCCCGAAGGCTGGGTAGATTTTTCTTAAAGCTCCATCTGCTTTTTAATTAGTGCAGATTCCTCCAAGATTCTCACGCTAATTGCTCATCAGTCTCGGTTCTGGGTGCTCTGAGGGCTGCTCCGTGCTTGTGGGCCACAGCAGCGGGGAAGGTGCCAGGCTGGGGTGTAGCCAGGACCACCGTGACCAGGCTGAGTGGCAGAGCTCTTCGCTGCTCACCAGGCCCCATGCAGCAGGTTGATCTCAGGATCTTACACACACAGGCACCAACGCACGCGGATTTCCCCTGCCCCGGGGCCAGGGGTTTGTTGACCGGGCCGGGGGGGTTCTTGGGGCCGTTTTCTTGGGGGTGGGGTCTAGACAAGGACAGTGACGGCCTACAAGGCAGAAATCCAGCCCTACTTTTCCCAGTCCCTATGGGGGGGGCGCCCTGGGCTCTCCACCTGTGTGCTCAGCTCCCCGTCACTTGGAGGAGGCCAGCGGTGGAGGGCACCCAGGGCAGGGTCCACACCAGCCTTGCTTGTGGTCATTCTCAAGCCAGTGGCCGCCTTGAGCACAGTGACAGTGACGCCTGCTCAGCGTCCTTGAAATCGAGGCGGACCTGACGGGAAGAAGTCAGTCCCCCTCCCGACACCACTGTGGGGTCATCCTGGCCTGGCCTCTGGCTCCTGCTCAGGGGAAGCCTGCCCTTGGAGCAGGGGATCGCAGATTTTGTTTGGCTGTGTGCAGGGCCAGTCTCCTGCACGTTTGGTGGCTTTTGTCCTGACTTACAAGAGGCAGGAGGCCCCTGTGGTCTGCCTGCCCTGGGGTCCAGAATCAGGAGCCAGTGCAGTGGTCCTTGATCCTCCTCTGCAGCCTCCAGTGCCTGGCCCTCAGCAGGACGAGGAGGGGCCGTTCGCTGTCTTCCGGGGCAGCCCCCAGGGTCCAGGCTCATCATGCCCAGCGCCTTGCCTCCCGGCACCCGGCGCTCACACTGGAAGCAGCGGCTCCTTCGGGGTTCAGCTCTGTGTCCATGCGCTCCTGCCCTCACACTGGTGGAGGTAGCTGATACCGTCTGCCTGGAAGGCGGAGGAGTCCTTCCTCAGCGCCTGGCTCTGCCTCCCTCCACCCCGTCCAGGCAGAGGTCAGCAGCCTAGCCAGACTCTGCCAACTGGGCCTGCCGCTCCTGTTCCCTTGGGGGCCCAGTGCCCTCCGAGCAGGCCCCCTTCCTGCACAGCTCTGCGTCCTGTGGCACTGTGGGCAGGTTGACTTCGGGAGGCGCATCTACTGACCAGCTGCTCGCCGGGGGCCACTTGAGGACGCCTGGTCTCTTCAGAACAGCCTCCTCCAGGCCTTGGCCTCTGGGTGGACCCAGACGGGGTTGTGGGGGAGGGCATTCTGTTCCCATCTTCGCAGCCCCGAGCCTGCCCCAGGCTTCCGCTCTGAGCTCCTGGGGCCAGGGCCTCTCGGGCGCAGCTTCTTGAGAGCATCCCTGGAGGCCAGCTCTGCGTGTGTGGTCCTCCCGGAGGAAGGTGTGGGGGCGCCATGCTGACCTGGGGAGGTCCCCAGATCCCGGTCCCCATGCTGGCCTCACCACTCCACCTCATCACACGCCCTCTCCCCGGCCACCTGCCTTGGTGGGCCTCTGCCCCAGCCCCAGCTGTCCACCAAGACTGGGCCTGTCTGCCCACATGGGCCCCATTTGTCCACCCTACGTTCACAACCTTGTTGTTACCTGGCACCCCAGCACCTTCTCCTCACACACTCATGCATGCTCACACACTCACAGACTCATGCACACCCTCACGCACACAATCACACACTCATGTACACCCTCTCACACACATACTCATGCAACCCTCATACACACACGCACACATACACTCACACCTCACACATCCCCTCACATACACACATATACACACTCACAAACACTCTCACACACACACCCTCACACCCTCACACACATTCACTTACTCTCTCACATAATTATATACACACTCATACACTCACACTCACACACATTTTCACACACTCACATACTTGCACACACTCACACACATTCATACACACTCACACACTCACACACACTCATAAACATACACTCATGTACAACCTCACACACACTCATTCACACCCTCTCACACACACATACTCACACATACCTATACCCTCACACATACTCACACATATTCACACACTCACACACACACATGCACACCCTCATATAATTCACACACACTCAGATACACACACATACTCACACACTCACACATACATATACACACTCATACACATGCATACGCTCACACACACTCTCTCACACGCACGTTGCACGTCGTTACTGACTGCACCCTGACCCTCCCTAAATGCCGTGTTGAAGCGCGACTCCTCAGGGCGCCTGAACCTGGAGCTGGGTCTCCAGAGGAAGTGGAGTTTGGGGGCACAGGAGGGCCTCATCCACACGACTGTAAGAGGGGAGATGGCCAGAATCGGCCTGCACAGAGGAAGGGCCCTGAGGACCAGAGAGAAGTGGCCACCAATCGGGAAGGCCCCGCGTCAGGTTCCGACTTGGACTCGCCGGACGATTGGAGCTGTGAGCATCTCCTCCGAAGCCTCTGGTCACCTGTGTGTCCTCAGGGGACAGACGTCCACCCAGGGCCTTTCTCAGGGTTGCACCTGGCTGGGTTTTAAGGTAACCTGTGACGACTCGTCAGGTCCTTTGAAGATCAAGCCCTTATCCGACAGATGGCACCTGTGTTCTCCCGTTCCGGGGGTCCGCTGTTCACCAAGTTGGTGACCCCTCCGTCATGCAGTCTGTCAGTTTGACGGAGTTCTACTTGTCGGCTTATCTCTGTGGCTGTGCTTTTGGTTTGCTGCAGTTAGATGATTTCATGGTTCAGTCCTGGTGACGTGAGTGTCTCTAGAGGTCCAGCTTAGTTTGCTGGTGTGTCGTGCCTAGTAGCCCACGGCAGTGCGCCTTCTTTCTGTGTCAGCAGATGTGACCTCTTTTCTTTAGTTTCTGATTTATCCGAGTCCTTACCCCTCTTCCTTATTTTAGCAAACACTCTCTCAATTTCCTTTATCTTAGAAAAAGCTTTATTAGTTTTGTTCATTTTTTCTATTCCAATTATTTCTGCTCTAATCTTTATTATTTCCTTCCTTCTGTCAACGCAGGGCTCGGTTCTTCTTTTTACTGCACTAGGAAGTGCAAATCATGTTGTTTATTTAGGATCCTTTCCTATGTAGAGAATTTCCACCATGAGCCTCCCTCTTAGTGCTGCTTTGGAACATCACTTAAGCTTGGTATGATTGTTTCCTTTTTCATTCTTCAAGAATCATCTTTATTTCCCCTTGATTTCTTCTTTGACTTGATAATTGTTCAAGAGTGTGCTATTTAATTTCTACATATTTGTAAATTTTTCAGCTTTACTTTTGCTATTGATTTCTTGTTTCATTCATTCCACTGTAGTAAAAATATATATTTGCTACGATTAGAATCTTAAATTAAGCAACACTTCTTTTTGAGCAAATACATCAACTATTCTGGGAAAAATTCATGTACAATTGGGAAGAAACTGTGTTCTGGGCAGGAGGTTCTGTGAGACTGGTAGGTGCCTGCCGTCTGTATTCCTTACTGACTGTCTGAACGCTCTGTCCACTATTGAAGTGGAGCACCCGAGGTCCTCCCGCGGCCGCATTGCTGGTCTACATCAGTTTGTTTATGTCTTGGTGTGTCCTGCTGTTGGGTGCACGATATGTCAAGAGTCACAGCGTCCTGGTGGCTCGACACTTCTACCCTTAAGGCTCTGTCTCGTGGTCGTTGGATGGAAGGCTCACTGTGTCTCATGTGAACACAGCCACCTGTGGGCTCTGTCCCTTGGCTGTCCGGCTGTGTGTCTTCAACATGAGGGAGCTTCTGTCCACAGCGTGGACTTGGGCCTCACCTTCATGCCTGTGGGGCCACTCTGGGCCTTCGTGTTATCTGCATTTGCTGGTGCCCCCTCGGCCACGCCACCTTTAATCCATTTGTGGTTGACGCGCTGGTCAATGGACAGTGTCCGCCGCTGACCCGCTGGGGGGCTCTCGGCTGGTTTTGTGGTAGTCCGGGCCTCTCCTCTCGTGCCGTCTGCTTGTCTGTCTCAGGTTCCTTTCCCTGTCCTTTGTGGGTCTCTACATGTCTTTGGCATGTTTACCTGGGACCCACAAAACACCTTAGG